CATAAGCATAACTATATGTGCGACAAGACATGCAGGTTTGCTCTGCGTCTCTGACAATTTTCAGTACCAACAGGGCAGAGACAGAGAGAATACATGCGCACACCACCGATCAATATCAATCGATAATTTCAGTTGGGCTGTATACGGATTCCTTCAATGTGCTCAATGGTGCTAATGCTTATATCAAATGCGATGTACATAATTATGCACAATTTCAACGGTTACGGTAAATATGCAATGGGTGTGGCCAGGCTTTTAGCAGGTATTGCTGCCGGTGAGTGTAGTTTATTACTTCTTCTATATTATAATTATTTTATACTAGTTCAGTTAATCACTTCTAGTTTCAGTTAATGTAATATATGTATGTCTAATAGGTGGAAATTAAAATGTGTTTGACATAAGATTTTAAAAATCAATTAATTGATTGTTATTGATTACCAGGAGGCAACTCACTCCTGCCGACGTATTGGACCTACGCAGCAGCACCTGAAGATCGTTCAACCGCTGCGGCGCTATTTGACGGCGCATTCTGCTTAGGAATCGCTCTAGGACCAGGTGATTATTGATTTTCTCCAATGCTTCACGAGCGTAAAATCGATATGGGTCACATGTGGAGATATTCACACCAACTTTCAACTTTGCCTTTCAGGATTCCAACTGGTGTTTTCACCTCTCAGCTACCCGGGTACTATGATCGGCCGCCTTTGGATCAATATGTATACAATGCCTGCAATTGTTGCAAATGCTCTTGTTGCCGTCACACTGGTCATTATGATGTTCTTCTTCGAAGAAGCCCCGATGTTCCGCGATGAAAAGCGAAAGAGTGTGATCAGCACAGGTGAGTCATGGGTCATATTTAACCAACAATGAAATCGAACGGCGTGTTTTTTGATTAGGGCAAAATAAATTACACAACAGTCAATGAATATTACACAGTTGAACCAGATCAACAAATTACTTGAATCAAATTACTGTAAAAGTCAATCGAAATAATTGATAGTAATCGAAAAACAATTCTTTATGCTCATTTCTCTTGGAATATAGGCACTCCTTCTACACAAAGGGCTTGCACATTCATACATCTGAAACATGGTGAATCATCCGTTCGGAGAAGCCGAGCGGGGGAGATCGCTGTGAAATTTGAAAAGGAAGTGGTTGAATAAGAGGGGCTCGTCTCCGGGATCAGGGTCATTTTACAGCTTCAAGAAAATGCATGCTGCGTAGAACTGCGGTTTCTAAGATGTGGGCACTTCCTTTCCACTCGGCTAAAGTGTAGTTGTGGAGAAATTTCGAGGGCAGAGTAATATAGTTGGAGTAGTTGGAGTGTGTCAGATCCAAGTACTACAGAAACAGTCATGATGATGAAGGTGATGAGAAAGGGGTTAAGACCGGTTGTATACATAGTTGCGGGGAGCACTTGGGTGTGGTGGTGTGGGGGTGGTGCGCATGGATCCTCGAAAAGGGGAGTGAGGACAGTGGAAGCACTGAAATCGGCTGAGCGCGACAGTTGACCATGCTTCGAAGTGATCCACCCCTACTTCTGGTGTATTTCCAGTACTTTTTGTTTATATTTATTTTTGGATCAAAGTGGCTTCATATCAATTATAAGAATGATAATTACAATGTATAAATTGAACAGAATTATGATAATTACTTAAACTTGATCAAACGTGCTATATATTATACCCTACAAAGCGTCCCCAAACACTTTTTTACGAGTTCTGTTGGGATGGATGAATGGGCAAATCATCGAACAACCCTAACCAATGTGTTTAGACACCCAATTCTCCATATCCCTACCACCATTCGACAAACTGGCAGTTATGTGCTGTATATTTGCGAAAATGGTTCAAATGTTCATCTACGCTAATATGGAGACGTGAGTTCAAGGCCTACTTATTGCCCACGTACTGCCGACCACTTACTGAATAAATTCCAGTATCGGGTCCATGTATACCCAACAGATGTTCGATCTGACCCGTACTGAGACCACTCAGTTCAACTCGATTTTGGTCTCGTTGTCCGGCTTTGTCGGCTTCGCATTCCTTCTAACATACGTTTGGACGAAATTGGGGAAACGGTAGGTACCAAAAATTTTCACCACCATTTGACTGATCCAATCGAATATCGATTTTCAGGATCGACAACCGTATCGGAGCAATCATAGGCGTGCTGATTTGTGTAGCATTTCTTTTCACCACTTACTCGTGGTGGTTTTACACCGAAAACATCGAACATGACGGTAAGCTTCATCGGCTAAATACATCATTATTTCATTTATCATGAGCTAATAAATTTTTTGAGCTAGATTTCTTTCTCAGAGAGTCAGTTACATGTTTTGTTCTGTTCACGCGCCGCAGAGCCTTGCGCAACAGCTGCGCACTTTTTCATATGTCAATAAGTTCGAATTTAGGCTGTCATTCACCATGGTGCGCCACCACCCCAAAAATACCTTGGGAACTCTACGCTGGCTCTTATGTGATCGTATTCGGTGTCGGATTTGCAATGATGAACGTACACTTGGCTTCGATGTATTCAGGAGTAAGTTGTTTCAAAAGCGTTAAGCATTCGATCAACCTCTTTCTGGGATGCGCCACGTATTCTACTTCCATTCAGAATCGTAGCGGCATAGGAGAAGGTTTTTCCACCCAATTCAGTAATTCATTTACATGCTGTAAGACCAGGGTGGGACCAACTAATTGGCAGGAAAACGCCACACATTTCTGTAAAAACCTGATATAGTAGGGTACGCCACGCACTTTTCTTCTATATAGAACCCCGAAGCGATTATTGAGGATACCGTGGCTCGCAATTGACCTGCTCTCA